TGAAAAGGAGGTGACTACATTTGATAGCGTCATTTTCCTACTTTGGATTTCAATTTTATTCTTAATTCATCGTTTTTACATTTTGGAAGACAACCAACAACTTAATTTCCTGTCAAATGTAGACATGTAAATCATCATAATCAAGATAATTATCACGCATTATGATAAATTGCCCTGGTCTCTTTGTGCACATTATTCACAAGTTTGTGTGTGGGGTCTGTGGATGTGTTAGACGTGTTAGACGGCATTTGCATGTTCATTGTGTCGTTAATGTGCGTATTAACCACACTGGCTTCCTGTTTCTGAACATATGCATTCTACCATTGCCACTGGGCAAATGTGACAAATCTTTACGCTAATTATCTAGTCAGGGACCGTATACTGCTGCTGCTCGGTTACTCAAACATGGGGGAAATTCTCCACTAGTTTGCAAAAGCAGTATGCAAAAACATAATACTTGTGCTATCTCACATGGATGTGGGCTTCTTAAATGGTACAAATGAACTTGCATAGTGGGCAGGTCTTAGTTTTTTTGTTCTAATCATTAGCTTTCTCATAGCTTTTTTTTTTTTTCCGAATAGTAGGGCTGCTGTTTAAATTTACTGAATTAGGTCAAGGTCCTTCTGGCACTAATGGGAAAAGGTTTTCCCACAAATGAGCAATAATAACCGCTTTAGTTCAAGACAAAAAAATATTTTCTGTATGTTGTAGTTTTTTTGGCATGCAAGATAATAATTGATACAGAAATAGTGGTGCATATGAAAAATGTGAATCCGCTCAAAGGTAATGAGCATTATTCATTACATCTGTGAAGGTTTTAAAAATAAATCTGCATTTTCCTGCAGTTGGAGGGTTCTGTCAGTAAATTCTTGTTTTCACCTTCCCCACATCCTATTATTATTGCTCATTTCATTCAAATTACAGATGAAGTATAATTGGGTTGGAGTTGGTTTTAGCTCAGATATGGTTCTTTACGTAAACCACTGTGATGTTATCAAGGCCCAGTACACAGAGCGAAATATAGGAAATGTTTCCAGGAAATGAATTAAGTCAATATAATGTCCCCACAGAGATGAATAACCCTGTGTGTGTGTGTGTGTGTGTGTGTGTGTGTGTGTGTGTGTGTGTGTGTGTGTGCGCCGTTTACTCGTGCACCATCTGCTTCATAGAAATTGCATGTAATGTGAGCAAATGCCCCTTTCATGGGGGTTAAGAAGACAAATGCTGCAGTAGACCAGTGGGGGCGGGTCCCGGCTCAAAAGTGGCCAAAATGACGTGCGCTGACATGCTTGCAATACCACCCCGGGCCGATGGGGGTGGACCCAGAAGAAGAATTAGCCAATGCTAACATATAGCATTGGCAAACCTCTCAAAAACGTCTTTACAGGATGGACCAAAAGTTTAACCTTGCCTGCAAGCTGAATTCTCGCGGTATTTGTGAGTTCACAAACACTCGAGAATACATCTTGTACCGCTCCCGCTTACACTTTTCGAGTCGAACCACTGGGTGTGCGAGCCAATCACGCGCCAGTCTGGGGGTTTAGGGCGGGATATCCGGGTTTGACGAAAGCAAGTGCCGGGCCGAAGCAAAACAAACATGGCTACGCAGGAGGACGGACGCGTAGCTGAGGCTATCCAGTCAGTTTTAGCAGAATCTCCAATTTCTTTTTTGAAAGATGAACAGCGAGAGGCGCTTTGTGCATTTCTGGACGGCAAAGATGTTTGTGCATTTTTACCTACGGGTTTTGGCAAGAGTGTAGGCGGGCACACAGCGTCACTTCGCCCAATCAGCTTGAAGTATTCTGCTGCTTATCCCTCCTTTCCCCGAAAGGATTCTCCGGGAGAAATCCCAGATTGATATCGCGGAGAACGCGTTAGAGTTCTACACAATCATCAATCTGGCTCTTGCCAGGTTACCAAAAGTTGGCTCTTGGCCCAAAGCTCCGTTCCACATGTGTGTCAATGCTGAGGGGGGTGAATTTTTTTGGTCCACTCTATTTTACTCGCGCTGAATTTTTGAAGTCTCTCGTTCAAATGAATGGAGCTGCGCCGGCTGACGCATGCGCAGATGCGTTTTTTCACATTTTTCTTGTGGACGGGACCACTCGCGGCCATTTTGGATTGCTCCATGAAAGCACTTTTCATGGCCAACTCCTATGAACGGCGGAGATAGGCGTGACTCTGTCCGTTATTATATACAGTCTATGCAGTAGAAACACTTTCAGTTGTTTTGTCTTCCACATACCTCTTGGACGAATAATGCAATACAATTCAAAATAATAGACCAAGAATTGGGGCTGTAGGTAAAGATTATTTAAAATCATGTTAGGGTCCACTAATAATAGTCTTGCGGGCCGGATTTGGCCCACGGGCCTGAGTTTGACATACCTGTTCTAAAACGTGAGTAATGCTGAGTTCTTTCTCCATCTATGATGCCATTAAATAAATAAAAAGCAATTAGCCTACAAAGTAACTTGACAGTTTAAACATTCAGCATCAGGTTTTTGATTTATAATTCCATAACTAATAATCCGTATCACTTCCAAAATGTCATCAAAAAACGTAACTGAAAATGTTGTTAAATGCTGCTCTTATTTGTTACTTATCTTGCTAACTAACTTACTTATGAACAAAGACACCATGGTAATTACATTCCCCTTTTGTTGGAGATGACAATCGTGTAAATTAAACCACTGTATGTTGTTTCTATGGTAACTTCCTCTTCCAACTTATGTCCATCCCAGAATTATCCCTTTAAATGGTACAATAAAAACAATCTACATATTGGCAAGATTTTGAGACAATTATATTTCCTGCTTGACTATGTTTGTGTAAAAATCTACAAAAATATTCCCATAATAAAAATGTGATGGACAGGACTTTGCTAGCCTGGTCGTACCACACCATAGTACAAATTAGGGCAGGGCGATATGGTCAAACATTTTTATCACGATATAAATAGCAAAATTTGCGATAACGATATAACAGACGATATATTTGAAGCTAGACAAAATATTTCAAAACTGCACAGCTTTATTGGTGCAAATAGAAGAAAACATTTCTTTTCAATTAAACAAGCGGCTGTTTTTGATGTGCATTAAAACTATCATTTTGTACCAAAATCAATATTACACAAGTTGTAAATTGTGAAACAAGTTTGTGAAATCACAAGGCATTGAATTTGTTGACATCTCCTGAGCATATCCACAAAAGTAAGGTAGAGTTGCTTTGCAACATAAAACTGCAGTGTGCAAAATAAATAAGTGAAATAATAAAATTGCACAAACCCTTGGGTAAACAAAAATAATATGTGGATGAATAATGCTATTGAGCATGGAGGTAGAAGTTAGCTTCATATGTTCAAGCTTTAAGATTCTTTGTCAGAAACACCAGCATGTTAACAGTTGAGGGCTTCAGGGATGACCTTTGACAAGTTACTACATTTCCACCTGTGCTGAACAACCTTTCAGATGCAGAGCTAGTAGCAGGAATGCACAGGTATTTTCTGGCTAACCTGCTGATGTGGGGAAAGTTTACTGTATGAATTTTCCACCACACAAGTGGATCACACTCACTGTCTGCTGCTGGACTATTTACATAGCTGCTCAGTTCAGATAATAACCTTTCTGCAGTTACATCTGTCTTGCCACTAACTGACCCCTTCAAAAAGCTTCCAAGGCTCTTCCTTTGCTTTTTAGCAGCTCCCTGACTTATCTGGTCTCCTGAGGCTGGAGGAGGGGTTTCTGAAAAACCTATAGCTGTGCTACCCTGGTCTGACACAAGATGCTCCAGTTCACTGATGGCTTGGACTTTGATGGCTTCACTTTCACTCTCGCTGAGATATTCTGTGCGGAAGCGTGGATCAAGGAGAGAAGCCATGTTAATAAGCCTCTCTGTGACACTGTCTTTGTAGCTTTTGTTCATGTAGTCAAGTATTGCTGTTTTGATGTCTTTGGTCAGCTGAGTGTCATTGTCTTTTACTTTTAACAGGTCGTTGTTGAAAATCTGAAGAACAGGCTTAACACATGAAATGGTCACGTATTCTTCAGCAGAAAAAGCATCTGTGAACTCGAGAAGCGGACTCAAGGCAGTGCTGATAGAGTCAAGTACCTCTATGTCTTGCCATGTCAACATGAGGTGTCTTGTGGTTTTATCAGCAGCTAAAACCTGTGCTATAGCCTTTTCCTGTTCAAGAAGTCGCTGGATCATTCTTTGCCTCGAACCCCAACGAGTGCAACATTCAGTTATGAGTTTGTGTTCTGGTAGGCCCAGTTCTTTTTGGGCAGCCTGAAGAGCTCGTTGGCGCTTCCAGCTGTGGCCAAACGCAGCGACGATCTTTTTGCCTACTCCAACTGCTCGTTCAATCCTCGGGTCTTTCATGCTTCTTTCTAAAAAGGCATAAAGGACAAAAAAAATGAACACCAAGTTTATTATTTAAAACAAATATTATTGGGTGGAATGGGTGACAATTAAAGTTTATTTTATCTATATATAAACTTTAAGTGCCCATTCCAAAGGGTATTAACATTTGTGTAATTTTATTTTTATAAATATAAAAACCAAACAGAGGCCACACAAGGACTAAACCAAAGCAGGATTTGCATCAAAACTGACCACATCCAGCCTTAGACTACAAATTATTAATTTATTTATTTTTAAAATCAAATCAACACCATGCAATACAGTTCTGGCTACCTTTATTTTAAAGAATAGAAGACTACATCTTACGTTTTAATTAACTTACCTATTGCAATGTGCAGGCGATGTCCGAAGCATGAAAGCCTGGTCCAGTTGTTAAGCGCGGTGGCTTTCACTACATTCGCTCCGTTGTCTGTCGTCACACACACTTGTTTTTCCTCTCCAAGTTTCCATGAGTTGAGGAATTCTTTTAAGCCCTTCGCTATATTTTCCCCCGTATGGTCATCAGGGAAGAAACTTGTTTCAAGGCACTTATTTTGTAGCTTCCAGTCTTTGTCCACGTAGTGTATTGTGAGACTCAGGTATGGGTCCGATGTGCGGCTAGACCACATGTCCGTGGTGGACGCAAAAAACTCCACCGAAGAGAGTGCATTTGACACTTCAGTACGGGCGTCTTCATATAATGCCGGCAAGGCGACTATAGAAAAGTACTTCTTGGAGGGCAGCTTGTAGCGGGGATCAAATGTTTTAAGCATTTTCGAAAAGCCCTCTCTTTCGACACTCTGAATGGGCATCATATCCCTGGCCAAACAACGTGTCACCGCATTAGTTAGGTCCCCCCAGCGTTTGCTACCTTTTTCATAAGGTGCGCCATTATTTAAAGTTACGCCGATTGTTTGCTGAGTGTGTTTCTTTGGTCTCACCACATCATCAGTTGATGCAGACGCCTCCTCGCGTGCTTTTACAGCTTTGTTGTACTCCAGTAAGTGCTTTTGCTTCAAATGGTGAAACAGGTTCGTGGTGTTTCCTCCCTTCGCCACGACGGACCGCTTGCATATTTTGCAAAAAATAGTGTTCTGCCGTGTATCCGACGGGCGAAAACCAAACCAGCTCCACACCACGGATGTTGCACCTTTTTTGCAAACCAATTCTGGTTCACTTGTGTCAGTCAATGTTTCGCTTGTGCATGCCGCCTCCTCGGTCGCCGCCATGCTTCTCACTCCATGTGCTAGACTGCATGAAAACATTGGTACTGCGCACGCGCGTTAAGACCAAGTTCTATCGCGATATGTCAAATTCATATCGTACCATAACATTACACCGGTATTACCTTGAAAGGTATGATATGACCCAGCCCTAGTACAAATTACATTTTTTACTGAGGTCTGGAGGTGCTCCATTGAGCTCTGTTATCAGATGGGGGGGGGCGTATCTCCTTTTGCAGATTGAAACGATTGGATCTGAGTTCACCGTCACGTATATAATGCACCCGAGTGAGTCGTTAGCATTTAGCGTTTAGCCTAGCCATCTCCTTTGCCGCTAACAGAGCAATTACATTTGCTAAACATTCCTCTGGCTTTGGCTTCAATTTCTTGATAGAATCAGACCGGAAAACTTTGCTATCGCATTCTTCGCCATTGCCAAACTACAACCTGCCCGTTCGGCGCAAACTCTTGACGTCACCCACATCTATCTACAACACCCGCCTCCCGCGCTCTCTGATTGGTTGGATGGAATTCAAACGATTGTAATCGCAAACACAGGGACCAGACCCAGACGTTACATGCAGTGAAATGATAATTGAGCGCGGTGTACGGACGGCTAAGGCCAGACTGGGACTTTGCAGCAGTCCTGAGATATTCCTCATTTAATTTGTTTATAAGGCAGAGCAAGTTTTGTTGTTTTAGCAAAGCTAAAAACTACTAACACTCTACAAGCGCTCGGACACAGTGTGGAGGGGACACTTACTAACAAGAACAGGATCAAGATGTTGCTGTAGATCAGTTATTCATTTTTACGGATTTAAAACAGATTAAGGAATCCTTCTCAGAGAAGTCTGTAACATAAGAAACAAGTATAAAAAAAAAAAAATTGAATTATGCACACTAGAGTAAAGATTCCTCGGTTGAATGCACAGCTAAACAGAACTATTTTTAACCTGGATTTGAACATTGTCAGTGAAAAAATCCCTGTCTCAAATTTTCAGGAAGACTTTTCCAGAATGTAGCTGCATGAATCTGACATGCTGCCTCCCAATGTTTAGCTCTGACTCTGGGCTCCAGTAGGAAGCTGCAGTCCCTGTGCTCCTCAGAGTCCGAGTTGATTCATATGGCAGAGATATGTCTCGAATGTACATAAATGTCATATTAATAACTGTTAAATCATAACAAATGTAAAAACGGAATGACCTCTTGTCCTTGGATATGGTCCGTGACAGTGAGAGAACATGATGTCACTGAAACATATTTGTGAACATGGACTATATTCTGGCGAACACACACATCTGAGAGCTCCTCTTTGTGCCTGACTATAAATGATGTCCGCAGTGTTGTAGCTGATACGTGGCTATGTAAGGACATGCTCTCACTGTGCACGGCTTTGTTTAGAAGATTTTGGACTCGTATAAAGAGTGCATCACGAGAGACCTGTGGCGATGGAGCCAAGGGAGCCAACTCATAAAAGTCCAATTAGACGATCCAGGCTTTTGTTTAGATGATAATTTTTGGTTTTAATGTGAATGTCTGCCAGCTGTCAACAGTTAGTGAAAAAGCACTGACTTGTATGACAGGCGTTTACACACACATTCTGGTAAATGCGTCAGCCGTGCTCATCCCTTATTCATTTTGGAAAACAAGTGAATATTTAACTTAGGAGCTGGTATTCTCTCTAAATACTTAATTGCTGAGGCATCTACACCTAAGTGCTGTGTAGCGTTGAATGCAAATGTTGTGTCAGCATTATGTCATGTCATGTCATGATGTCACAATCTTAAAGGTATATATATATATATATATATATATATATATATATATATATATATATTTAGGTATATAGGAGGCTTTTCCCAAAGTTTAGGGAAAGAACCGCCCTCTCCACTTTTTGAATAAGACTGTTTGGTCTTATTAGACGAGCATGTATCACCAATACATTTCTCCTGTGTGAGATCAATAAAGTATATCTTATCTTATCTTACCAGAATTATTGACAATTGGGAGGACCTACAGTCTTGATGATACACCCGGAAGAAGAAAATTCTCCTATATACCTTTAAGTGGCACATGATGTTGATGATGTTAGTTTGGTGTCAGTACTTACTGAGGTTTTAAGAATAAAGATGGTTTTATCTCATTTTTTCATTAATCAGCTAAATCTTATCAATAAAACATTGGATTTTTGGATGACTATAGATTAATCTGCCTGTAAAATTTTGAATACAGTGGTCCCTCATTTATCGCGGGGTTACATAAAAAAAAAAAAAAATCTGCAATAAGCAAAATTCACCCAGTAGAAGCTATATGTTTTAAAGCTGTAAAACCCCTCACCACACACTTTTTACACTTTTCTAACCACCTGAACTCACAACTGCTGTATTGTGATTGTGGATATATCCAACCTGTTGGTTGTATGTCTGAGCGCTGCTGCAGCTGTCAAAAGCCGTGCATACACTGTAAAATACAGCTGCAGAGGAAAGAGGGGCAGGAGCAGGACTGAGGGCTACAGGAAGACTGCAGTAGTTCTTTGAATCAATCATCGCAAAGCACACAAACCACATCCGTCCATCCATCCATCCATTTTCTTCCCCTTAATCCATTTTTGGGTCCGGGGGGCACCAACCCTCACTGATCCTCCTGCAGGTGGTGAGTCCACAGGAGCCTTGATCTTTCAGCGGGGGCTTCAGGCAAAGTGGGGTTAAGTGTCTTGCCCAAGGACACAACATTAGGTAAATGTCATGTTATACTAGCAGTTGTATGATGTTGATGGAGTATACACAAGAGTATACATCAGACGCACACTGTAAAAAAAACACACACAAAATCATTTTAATAATAATTTTATGTTGAAAAAGCGGATCCAAAGATGTGAGCAAGACAAAAGGTGCGTGCATGTGTAAAATAATAATAGAACTAGTTTATAGTTAGACACATTGTATTTTGTGTCTTTTGTTGTGGTTTAAAGTTGAGTACCCTATCTTTTATTCCAGGCTGACAGTGAAATGTCCCAGGGGAAGCAAAAACCACTTGCAGATAAGCAGATATCAAATCCCCTTCCCATCTCTAAGACAATAAAGTAGTGATAGAGATTGAGATTTGATCAAAACCTAGTCATGCATCTCTTCATAGCGTTTCTCTGAAGGCATTAGAGCAGAGCAGATCTGGTTTCACCTTTGGCAGAGAAGCACTCATGTTCTAAATAAGAGCCCATAGTCTGACTGGAGTGTGGAGATTAGCTCTGTTTGTGGGCTAATTACATGCACTAAAATTCAGGCCACCCAATTGTGCGGGATACAAAGAGCCAAAAAATCAAAACAAAGACAGTGCACAATGTTGAAAACGCTGAGTGAAACATATTTTATTAGTAAGAGGGTTGTGTGTTTGTTGAAGCAGTCACTTGTCCTGGGAACTATGCAAAAGAGTGTTTTCTTTTCCGAAAAATAAACTAGTGCACAAAAATATGCACTAGTTTATTGTATTTATACGTTTTGCTTTCACTTGACAAATCTCTTCTCTATTAGGATTTTGTATAAACAGGGCCATATTGTATTCAGGTGAAGCCACAGATTGTATATATTAACGGACGTAGTCACGCCTATCTCCGCCGTTCAAACAAATGGACCAAAAAATTGGTCCGGGTCAAGCACCATTCATTTGAACGAGTGACTTCAATAATTCACGACTAAACTACAGTGGTCCAAAAAAATTCACCCCCCTCATCATTGACACACATGTGGAACGGAGCTTTGGGCCAAGAGCCAACTTTTGGACCATCCTGTAAAGACGTTTTTGAGAGGTCTGCCAATGCTATACTGTATGTTAGCATTGGCTAATTCTTATTCCGGGTCCACCCCGATCAGCCCGGGGTGGTATTGCAAGCATGTCAGCGCACGTCATTTTGGCCACTTTTGAGCTGGGACCCGCCCCCACTGGGTGAAGCTCATTGACTCATGACTGACAGCAATGAGGCAAAACACTCAAATCCAGCAGTAATCACAAAACTGAATACTGAAGGTATACTTTATTGTCCCTGCGATGACTGTGAAATACATGGCTGCAAATGAAGTTCTCAAATGGCCTGTGGGAAACTGATTGTGCATAGCGGATTCAATTACAATTATCATTTTTGCACCCAGTAGTTTTTAAAGACACAAATTACAAAATGTTATGAAGCAACAGAATTTGTCAAGACTGCTCCTTCATCTTTTATGTAGTCTCTGCAAACCAATACTGCTCACTGCTTGTAAGATATAAATCATATTGAGGAAGAATCTTTCTCTAGTCTACATAAGATGAAGAGATCATTTATTTGTCCCACAGTGGGGAAATTTAAGAGCAGTAGTAGTAATTATAGTTTGCAACATTAGGAATGAGGAGCACACAGCACAAGATAAATGAACAATAACTGTACTAATTAAAAAATAAAAATATCTAACTCTAGCATCAAAGACACAAGTTTAAAATTAAAATATTAAATATTAAAAGGTATAAAATCTCTACATTTGTCAATAAGCGGCAAGT